AAAAAAAAACAATCAAAAAACAAAATAACTTTTTGCCTTTCCTGAAAACCCTGAAAACTTCGTTTAGTCCCTGTTGCCATCGATGTGTTAAAACGCTGTATTTTTTACGTCAACAAAACGTTACAACTCGTATTTCCCGTTACCTATGGTCCGATCGAATCGAATTCCTTTTTACGTGATAAGACAATGCGATATTCGTGGTAATAGGGTGAACAACTGTAATTAGTGCACCGCATAACGTAACGTAAGTACAACGTTCTTTATTTTTCCCGAGACGGAATCTAGATGACTTATCTGATTCTCAGCACGAACCGTGTTACAGTTGTATCGACCGAACACGTATTTCAGTAATTCATTCAATTCGACTAGAATAAGAGGTACAACACAATGAATACGGTCGCACATTGTACTACTTGGGTCGAGCTTTAACCGTAGAACATTAATTATCGTAGCGAGAAGTTTAAAGCCAACATTCTGCGATTTCCGCGACGCTTAATTATATTTCGGAACCGAAAAATACACGGTTTAAACGCCGAGACGATAAAGCTTTTCGAAATCAATTGAACGGCTGTCGGTTTCGAAAGCCAAGTACTTATGGCTGTGCAGCGGAAAACGATAAAATGAATACAAATATTTTCGATCTAATGCATCAGGTTCGATGAACGGTTTATACGTGAATATAGTCCCCCCCCCCCTTCACGGGGAAATAGGATCTCAATACATGAATATTAAGAAATTAAAAAACCGTTTTTCTACCACCCGATCGGTATTTACGGCGAAACGTCAATTGTAATGGGCTTGAACAGCTAATCGGCATCGCGTGTGAAATATTACGACCGTTGGCACATAGACACATTACATAGCAAGCAGCCATTTTAAATGGACCGAAAGAACGTGCGTTGGTTTATTCAATACATGTTAAAATTCAACACGCAAAGTAGAAACTCCAAAGTTTCGACGGCGTGCTGCATAATGCGCGATATAATCAAACGACAACTCGTGAAAAACGTGTAGCGCATCTCAGCCGGATGACTACGTCTGAACCGTGCCGAACACGAGAGTATTTGTTTATTTTATGTATTGTTCATGTTGTGCGCGTACACGATCAACCGCATCGTGATGGTATGTCACCGGTTTCCGCCCACGTGACCGTTTTCGAAACGGCGTACGAAACCTCAAAAGTAAATTGTAAAAGTTAAGTTGTTAAGTAAAATTGTCGAATTTCAAAAGTCGATTGAACACAGCTATTTCGACACGATACATCCGCGTGCGCTTCCTCCGCCCCGTAGACCCGTGCGGGATCCGTTCGCGTGCGGGAAAGGGTTCTTGCCAACCGTCGCCACGTCCTCGGAGGGTTTCGACGATTTTCCCCGGGTAACGGCCGACAAAATTTCGATCGCCAACACGGCGTGAACGGTTTTATGGCCTACGGGCACCGCCACGTGGACCGCAATCGTGCAATAGCAGCGCGTGGGTAAAATAGTTTTAAAAATATGCCGTTTCTCCCGCCAACAAATCTAGAATGCTTAACTTGCGTTGATCTCGGTAAACGTATGAAACGACAAAATGCCATCACGAACGTGCCACGCTCCGGACTGCAGATCCGTAACCGAGCGCCGGTATTGGACAAATCTGGGTTCGACGAAAACGGTGGTCAACGACCCGATGTAATCGATTCGATCAACACGAGTGTTGGGATGAATTAATTCGCGATCTCGTTTGATGGCCAATCGTCAAACGTAAGATTACCGACGGGTTTCGATTCGAAACGAAAATTCTTATCTCTAAACGTCAATCGACTGTTTTTACTCGGGCTCGGTGATAATAAAACGAGCGGATGAAAGTCGACTGTATTACTATCAATGCGTATAAAATATGGTCCGATAAAAAACGTTTGAAACACTATTGATTTCGTTGTTATTTTCCAGTGATTCCGTTGAATAAAATAATCCGTACTAAATGTTGTCGTCGGTACATGATTTCTGAACGATTGCGTTATGCTATGCGACACACCTCGTTCGGTACGAACATTGAAGCCTGGTTATGTGAACTTACTACAAGTCCCGAACCGCTCGATTTTTATATTCATGTAATTTTTTTCTATTAACATTTATTATACGGACTCCGACGGGTACACCCGGGCACTTAAGTGGGATGTAAGAAATGACACGATGAAGAAAAAAAAAAAAAAAAACCATTTTTATTGATGGATTCGACATAATGGGCGTGCGGCACGGAAAATAAAAATTATAGGTTCCCGTGTGAGTAGTTGCTAGCGGTTTTACTAACTGTTTATTTTATTTTTTTATTTATTTTTTATTCCGAGAAACATATTAATATTGTGGACATTAACCGGCCGACCATGACCGTTAAACGCAAATACAAGCCATTATGATTAATAATGTCGAAATGTCATTATTGAAAACCAATTGAGTTTTCAAATAAAATATTCATAGTGTTCTTGTTTAATATGCATACTGTACTACATACCGTATCAGCCGAAGAAGGACTGCGTTCCGTTGACGTTCGGAATTATTGAAAACTCGGTCCACTAATAAAATGTTTAATGTTTTTTTTTTTTTTTTTTTTTTAAATTAATTTTATATTACGTACGCTAGTGGTACACCGTAACAGTACCTATCGATTTTAAATTACGGGTGTAGTAAACAATACCACGTGGTTTTAATGTAATACAATGATGTGCGTTATAATATTAATGTGAAAAACGGTATAATGTATCGTAAGTAGGTTTACCTTTACGACTTGAAAAAAGGTATTGTTATAAAATTATATACAATTTATGTTATAAAAGGTGACATTGACTTAAAATCTTATGTTTCCTTATCTTATCTATTAAATTTAAAATAGTCTATAGTAATCACGAAACACAGATATTATTTATTGTAATCATTTATATACACATGGACGCTTTGGCATAAAAAAAAAACTCATTTTTCGTCTAATATAATAATAGCGATTTAAAACCGGTTTACGGTTTTCTCTGTTTTTCCTTTATTCCAATATTTTCATACAGTTGTGCTATAACGGGTATTAAAGATCTATAAATATATGCTAACTTGTGCATGGAATCGTTTATTTACACTCGGGATCCACGTGGATATTTTATATGCTAACTTTGAAAGCCTGAGCGATATTAAATCACGGTGCCTTATTCCCATACACACTGACGGAAAACTGAAAGAATAATTATGAAAACAAATAATAAGGAAATATTGTATTATTAAATTTAGTTCGTGGTAAGCGTTTCATATTTATTTTTATGAGACAAGTAGATTTTTTTTTTTTTGGTATTCATCAATCATATTTAATCGTTAAGCGTAAAAATATTCGGTTTATTTATAAAAAAAAAAAAAATAAATAAACAATTATTATAAATACTAAAACAGTGTACGCGAACGGAACGTGTACTAATTGTTGAGTTAGTATACCGTCAAATCAATACGTAATCACCATCTGACATGCGTGAGCTTCAGTGTATCCGGAAAGATGTGTGAAAACTACGTATGGAAATCTTTTAGAACCCGACGAAGAATTTCGACGACATTGCACGAGTACGAGCAAAAGTTGTGCGGAGGTGTGAAAACCGCAAACACGACATTGTGCCGGCAATATAATATGAATTAATAAACTATAGTCTCTCAAAGCCTCAGCGTTACAAAAGCTATCCAAGGCGTCTCTGGATCTTTTTTTTGCGATACCTTTTTTCGCGTTCCAAATAAAAATGATTTTTACGAACTTTATTTTTACCATCGCATCGTATATTTGAATTACCGTTCGCAGCGTACATTATTAGAAACACTTATATAAATTATAACGAACGAGTACTAAATTTTTTTTTTTTTAATATTAAAGAGACGCGACGCCACGCGATGTACCCACTAATGTAGCACCGCGATTGAATGAAAAAAAAAATTATCATTTCAGCGCTGTCGCGTTTTTTTACAGTTAAATCCGTTTACACATTATTCAAATGGAGCGCGTTACATTTATTTTTCGTTAAATCGCCCAACACTCTTAAGTGTGTACTCGATCTGAAGTGACATATTCGTGCGACGGTAACTATCATTATCGTAGGTTAGGTTATCGAACGATGCCAAAACGTGGGAAACATAAACCGATGTACAATGATCCGATCGACCAAGTACGTTTCCGCGTGTTGACAATGAAATTCATGCGGACGCCAACGAATGATTAGATTTCCGTTGGAAATCGATTATTCGATCGGTCAAAAAGCTAGGGACCGCAGGGCGAGTTACGATTCCTGAACGATTTCCGAGTGCACGTTATCATCCATATTTAACTAACGGTCAGAGGTCGAATACCGGAAGATTTCATAACACTCGGGGTCGGCTCTCGTCGCGTGAACAATATACACGGGACTGCTGGCCCCGCGAACGAATCCACGTGTCCATCGAACAATGCGCGGAACGCGTTCGAAAGACCGACTGAAATGTACATGAAATAATACATATTCAACCTATAATATATTAATGTATTATAAAATGTCTGGAATAGTTGCATCGCGTTAGCCGCGTATTAGCCGCGCGAGAAATTGGTACTGGTACCCTCAGGAATCCGTTTTTTTTTCAGGTTTCCACATTTTTTTTTACGCGCGATCGATCAGGACGATGTTGGAAAGCGATTCCGAGCGTAGAGTCGTGACCGTGAATTATAACTTTGACCCGCGCTTCGGACTGTCTTTTTTTTTTTCATTTTTCCCGCTGTCCGCTTCAGACCGACGCGAGGTATTCCGACGCTCAACTCTTACGTTTTCGTGAAATGTGCCACGCGCAGCAGATTTCAAGCACGTCCGCCGGACGTTATTTATTGTTTCTTTTTCTTTTAAAAACGTTACGACATCCGAGCGTCGTGTATTGGACGTTGACAGTTACAGCGGAGAAGATACACTTTGCGAGACGCGTCCCGGTAAATTATAGTTGTCCGGTGAAAAAAAAAAAATAAAAATATATATACATTACCTATCAACGCGAAACCGATATAGCTCGACCAAGATTTTGTGGACTAAAAAAAACAAAATAAAAATTAACATAGAATTAAAAACACGGTTCTAACAGTGTTTGTTTATGAACGGCGGGAAGGACCACGAGAAGGCTATCCGTTTAGAGGAACGCTGACTCGATATCAATTGGTGAACAACGATGAAAAAATGCGTTTGCTGAGAATCACACGCGTCGCCCAAATGTTCAAAAAGATACAATTATAATTCATCTACGCGCGTTGGTTAATAGGAACTCCATGGAAAACATGTGGTTGGATCATGGCAATGAGAACAAGTTTGCGCTGATTGGCAATGAGTGCCTGGATCACGATAATTATAATTAACTAGTCCGTGTTGACGATGGATCGAGTCGAAAATTTGTGCCGCGAAAGAAGTACTAATTATAAAGCTTCTGATGATTCGAGCGTGGGTGAACGGAGTTATGATATCGGTCAAACTGAGTGTGATAAGATAATACGAGAAGAAAGTGGTATGTTCAACGAAATCGAAAGAAAATTGAAATTTACATTTTTACAAAATTGATTACGAGAATAAAATTAATAACAATGAACATGAATTATTATCGCATCTTAATACCGAACTGTGATAACATTATCTCAAACATGTCGTTCGAATACAACAGAAAATTGCCTACCTATATATTTTTGGTCGGTTTTCTAACCGATTGCAAAAAACTGACGAATTGATAGATTTCAAATTAATTTTCGTTTTAGGATTTTAAAATAAAAAATTCCGTTAAATTAATACCAAGTTTATGATGTTTTAATAACGCGTGACCGTTGTCACAACATATTGCATTAAAGTAAATTTCGGGTGTCAATCGACACACAGGAAATTACTTACCTTTAACAAAAACAAATATTGTACCGGTAAACCGATATAAAAAAAATACGTACAACAATCGGCACAAGTGTAGTAACTACGGAATATCACCGATACGGAAATATCATTGTTATCTGTTATTACTTTGATTGCGTGTGTGGATTACTAGAAATAACATCGGGGAAATGATACCGTTCTTGACTGTTTATGATAACAGTAACTTTGAATAAGAGGTCATGGAATAGTACGTAATAAAATTACGTAAAACTTTCGTCCAGCGGCGCGCTATCTAATCCTACGAATCATACGCGTAAACAGACGTTCATGAGTTACATTATTACTTATTACTTATTATTCCTTCCTCGGGAGTTGCATTGATTTCGTAGTGGACATTAAGAGCAGCTAATCCATTGAGTCTTCTTCCCGATGTTGAATTTCTTAAATCGATCTTCGAATCGATTATTCAATTTTGTCGAGCAATTTTATTATTTTAGAAAGATACGACACGGTTCAAGTGGTTGGGGAAGTCCGGACCCGAGGACCCCGCCACTGGTACACTTTAACGTATCTTTTTTTTCAATCCGTAGAAACTCAATAGATGTAGAGCAAATCTGGTCGCTGACGGGCAATATTCAGTCGCGCAACAGTCTGATCATAACCGCAATCGCACATGCAACTAAACCATCCCAGTCACACCGTGATACGTCACAGTTTTGGCGACAGATTAGTTCCCGTGTACGCATAGGAAGTAATCGAACGATTTGCAATGGAACACAAACCAATTGGTCGGACTGATCAGTTTCACGTGAGCTCGTGGCCATAAATCACTTTATACGATCCAGCTGTTGCGCGATTGAAAATTTGCTCGTCTTAGCCCGAGACAAATGAACGCCGTAATATACGTACGTCGTACACCGTTCGCAGCTGTCAAGTGTCGACTGTACAACCCAATGAAGTGCTATCGTGTATTATATTACGGACGTTTTCGATGATGGTAATCGCGACGGATCTCGTCACCACGGTCTTTGTCTGATGCTATTTATATAATAATTATAACTGAATAAATTGTAAACAAATAACGGTTACGAAAGACGGTTGATGAATAATGTTTTTTTTTATTTTTTTATTTTTTATTTAGAAAATATACAATCTATACCCAATGGCATAATAAGAATATGTGCTACATTATATTAAAAACATGAATAGGGTTAGGGAAGAAACCATCCAGTGATCGCACTTCCTTTTGCTTAATATAGGTGTAACTATATATTTTTTCAATTATTATTATCAAAATTTTTTTCTTTTTTTCCCGTTATTCATTAAGAAGATCTCTGCATCGGTTTCTTTTTAAACGTCATGGAAGGTTTCATGGTGATGAACAATGTTAAAATTTAATTCCTACCAGTTTTAATATTATATCATTAAGGCACCACCCACATTTCAACAGTCACCCTGGGCGGTAGGTCCAGGTCGCTCATTTCTAACATGATGAGATCAACACATTCCTGGATTGACTCGTATACTAAAGATATTTCGAAAATAATGTTCGCAAAAAATATAACATTCCAGCGAAATAAAAATAAATTATACCTTCATAAACTAATTTGTTCGATTCTTTTTTTTTTATTTTAAAAATAAAATAATAATATAATACATTCGTTTTTATATTTATAAATACATTCCAATGAAATAATGTGAATAAGTAAGCTTTAAATGTAGCCCACTGATTGGAGAATTTTGTTAGTGACCCTTGGTATGTAAGGTGTATTGGGTAAAGGAGAAAAAAAAAAGTGTATCCTCTTCCCGGAAATATGTGGCTTCGGATGAGCAACTACGACGGGTAGCGATGGCCGTATGTTGCGCCAGCCCAGCCTCAAGTATACATTTTTAGATTTTCGCTAATATTTCTTGGTTTATTATTTTTGATAACATTACTTTCAAGTGGATCGTTTATTTATGGATTCAAAAAACAGAGGAAAAATGTACAAAAATAGATTAACTTAGACCTGGAATCGAACCCCGTACTATACTATGTTCGTCTTGACGCAGTATCTTACTCGTTTGGTTTTCATGAATACAAGATAATTGATAATTTTAATTTTAAAAATTTATATCGTAAACATTCGGTACATACATATACTATCGATATAATAAAATTAAATAAACGATCCGCATGAAAGCAATGTCATTAAAAATAATAAACCAAGAAATATTAGCAAAAATCTAAAAATTTACACTTGGAGCCGGGCTGGCGCAACGGTCGAAATAGGAAATCGGTTTTTAAGCACATAAAAATGTCGTGCGAATTGTACGGATGGTTATGCAAATTTATTGCATTTTTGAGTTGTGTCACTGTTCTTGCCGGGGTGCGATATAATATATTGTTATTTATTGTTATTATATATTTTTATTTATATTATAAATAAAGCTCATGGGAGGATCTATCTCTCATACCCACCCGCCGTAAATACACCCCAGCTTGGGACCCAAATCGGAAGATCTGAAAAAAAGTTCACGTGCGTTTCGGCGTCTTCGAATACCTGATGTGGGGCACTTGAAGTTTTCTCTTCCGGGTTTCGGTTCTCGTGACCAAAGGGTCTTTCCGAAACCAACGTTTTAGCCGATCCCACAGGCCACGGAGTGTCTTTTTTTTTCCGCCGGAATCGGGTTGCGCCGCGGCCACCTCTGGAACGCCCGCGAAACTCCTCATCGTCTCGCCGTCCGATTCGACCGTCACGTAAGTGTATACCAGACGACGGCCCTCGGCCACCGACCCAACGGTCCGGTGCACGGATATCAGCGCGGCCCGGTGGTCGGCCACCGTGTCCGGCCGCGGCACGGCTACGGTACTCCACGGCGCGTCCCGACGGTCGGCCGCCACTTCCGCGGTGGTCCGCGCCGGCGGTCGGCGTCTGATGTGCAGCGACAACGGGCGCATGTCCACCGGCCGGTTTTCGGCGGACCGCAGGTGTTCCCTGTGAACCGCCAGGTA